GGGACGAACCGGCGAGGGAGAGAGGGAGAGAAGAAGCGGAAGAAAGAGAAGGGTAATCTGCTTGTTCGTAGCGTTCTCCCGTGGTTTCGGTGCACGTAGATGGCATTAAAACCGTTTCGGTTCTATCGTTCGACCGATTTAGAGGCGAGCCAGCGGATAAGTGGCAGTTCCTCTGCTCGGGCAGAACGATCCAGTGCACACCCCACCATGCCGATCGCGTTGCTGTTGCCGTTGCCGTGCCGTTTTGTTCGGCTACCGTAGAAAACCGGCAAGTCACGATCGGCTCGTTACCAGCGATCCCTTTCGATATCCCGAATCGCGAAATCCTCCAGTCTCCCTCCCCCTTCGCCGTGCATTATTTCAAACTCGAACGCGTCCCGAAAGATTTCAGCTTGGTCACAGGCTGCTAAGGTATAAGTTTACAGTTGTCAGAGCGATGCCACGTCTGGACGGTATTCGCGGACTCGAAGGGGAGAGAACCCCACGGTTATCTTTCTAATGCTCGCTACAGCTTGGTTGGAAAGGAAAGGAAGAACCCCGGGTGGGCAATTCGGCCGATCGGAAATGAAATTTCAATCGACGAAACAGCCTCGTCACCGCCCCGAGAAATCTAACCTACAATTCGCATTAGGCGGCAATTTTTGCACGACGGGGCATCGATGCACCGCCCGCTACTCCAACTCTAACGCTCCGAGCGAAACGAGAGTGTCGCGAGAAAACTGTATCGCGATAATCGCATCCAACGTATGTAACTTCCTTTCTCTCTCTCCTCTTCCCTGTCCCTTAATTTGCTACACACTTGAAACCACCGCGTCGAGACGGAGGAGAGCACCAGTTGTCGTTGGCGACTATCGCTACGCGAACCAGCACTCCTGGTAATACTCGAATCTCGACGGGGAGCGAGTCGAGATCGAGTCGACGGGTGGTTGGAACCCCGGTGAATAAGAGGAAAATGCGATTGATTCGGTTAAGAGAGCGTAATCGCCCGTAAACCAAAGTTGGCCGTGATCGAAATTCGCCTATTCGCCTGTTCGCCTGTACCGGCGATCGCGCTAACACGTTGCGCAAAACATCAGAGTTCCTATTACTATTTACATACAATCGAATCTATCGCGCATACATTTACATACTAGGCGAAGTAGGTCGTCTACGAGCAAGGCTAACGAATATGTTGTATAAAATATTAGCCACGACGACATCTCGACTCTCGCTTGCCCGCAGCCGAATAATAGGAAAGGGGAGAAGAAGGTGGTGGACAGTCGACAGGTGGCAAACAAAGTGGGACTCTCGAGGACGAGGCTTTCGATTCGAGTAGAGAGAGAGAGAGAGCAGTGATTGCGGGAAATCGCGCGGGACGAGAACGGACCAAACCGGACAGAGAGAGGGGGTGCGAACGCGTTCCACCTCGAGCGACGGGAGGTTTTCCGGGGACGAGGGTGCCACCATCGGCATTAAATATACACGCTGATTTGTCGTCCGCGGATTGTCACCTCTGATAGCTTTCATTTTGTTGTATATCGGTGGCTGCCGCGCTCCGCGCTTTTCCACGTAATTCGGCCCGCTTGATTGACTTTTGAGCTGGCCTTTATGGCGATATTCGTTGCGCGAACCTGCTCCACCCTGCACCCGCCTGCCTAGACGCCTCTAGTAGTAGATTTATCGGCCGGTGGACGCGTGTCCTGCCGGTTTTTTCGTTCGGTCGTAGCCCGTCATCGAAACCGTCCACCGGGCACGGCCACAGCCGGAGGCGCATCGCCCGTGTCCCTCCCGTCTGACAGATCGCCGATCGCCGTCCGTCCGAGTTTCTTCCACGATCGTTTTCCCCAACCACGGCCGTTCCTGTTTCATCAACATCCTCGGTCTCGCCGCGATTTTCAATAATATGCGCGATCGCGTATTTGTTTAAAGTCCCTGGAATTCCGCCGGTATTGTCCGCCGGCGAAAACAACGCTCGACTCTCTCTGCGCCCGTTGTATTCCGCGCACGACTCGTTGCGTCGCGCGGAGAATAAACGTCTTTCTTCGTTTCCCAGAAATTCGACGCTCTCCAAGCGTAAATGTCGCGTTTATCGTTACATCGGTACGTCGCCTTTCGGACCTTCCCTTGTCTTTCCTCGACGTGCTCTCTGCAAGGAGGCGACCTCTTCGGGCTCAGTCGTAATAAAGAAGCGGAGGGAGTTTAGAAGAGGACGGCGGTCTTGCGATAACGTTGCGCGGCGGTTATTGGAAATGGGAAATAGTCTGGTCGATCTACCCCACCGTGAAATACACACAGCTCGGCGAGCCTACGTCATACCTTGGCGTATGTACATTATTCATAGCCATCGGTGAAAAGGGCGCCAGCCGTATTACGTATGCCACGGGTTATTATGCCCTCTAAATGTTTAATGTGTTTGCCTTCCTTCGCCCCACCGCCGACTTTGCCTTTATGTTTTACTAACTAAATTACTATTTCTTTTTTTTTTTTATTAGTCCTTCGGCGTTTATGTTGGTTCAATCGATTCGTCGTTCTCTCACTCGCGCGCGTGCGTTCCTCTCTCTTCTCTTCTTCTTTCAACAGGCCTTTCCCTGCACGTGCCGGCTTCTCTAGATATCGTCAATTTTTATACGCCATCCCTCCAATATTTAATCGTCCTGTCCTGTTTGCTTACTTGTTTCGCGTTAAACATTTCAACGGCGATGGTCACGAGCGTCGCGCTCGCGGAAAGTAACCAGTTCCCTGGCAAGGCAAGGAGCTCGCTTGTTTACAGGATTAATATCCGGCCGGAGTTCCTTCAGCCGGAGGATGCGGAACGGAGGATGGACGGGGTCGTTAAAACCGCGAGCGCTAAAACGCGCAACACCGAAACGCGAAACCCGCTGGAAAGTTTGCAATTTACTGCCCGACATATTGGCTGCGAAAGCACACGAAATTAAGGCTAGTAAAACACTTTCCTGACACCTCGCGCGCCCCTTGCCCTGCCCTGCCCTGCCCCTCCCCTTCCCGTTCCCCTTCTCCTTCTCCTCGTGCACCCACACCATCGCTCGCCCTTATGTCTCGCGAACCGATCCTTCTTCTAATTCGACTAATAGACCGATCACTAGACGGATCTCTCCTTACCAGACCTACGTACTTTTCTTTCCTCTTTCCTCTTTCTCAAACGATCAAAATTGACAAACGGTTTCGCGCTCGGCGTATCGCGTGCCTTCTTCGAAAATGCACACGTCGCGTGCACTCCGATCCAACTACTATCGCCATCTGCCGAACGAGATTTTCGCTGCAGCAGATTGAAACTGCAGCCGATAATGCAGGTAGCCCCTCCGTTACTTATCGTTTATGTTCGCCTATCGGTAAATTGGGTAGGTTTGGATAAAAAGTAGGAAGGAGAAAGATCGAACGGTGTAAGAACGAAAAATTAAGAAACTTACCAAAACGATGAACGAAAAATAAACAGGGAATACAGAGGTAACTGCAACAAATGAAAAAGTATACTTGAAATAAAGTGTAGATGGCACCGTGAACAATTGTTAATAAATACGAAACGAGCATTTTCTGTGTACAATCGTTTTTATTATCAGAAACATATTTCGCAAGCTGAAAAATAAAATTACCACCAATCGCAATACATACATTCTGCCTATTATTTACAATCTTTCCCTGAAAATACCTCGGCGTAAACTAACGTTCAAGTTGCTTGAAATTGGCGCGTTAACCAATACGAACGCTCGCCTTTCTCATCCCAAAATTCTTTTCTCACTCACTTTTTATTCGAACGAACGAAATCTGTGATTACGACGAACGTCTCGATTTGCACATTGTCGAGCCTACACCGTTTAGAATTCGGACACGTAACCGGATTCACAAACGCTCGTAGATAACCGTTCGTCGCTGTAAAATTATGGATAAATTGGTCATCGTCAAATTTGGAAACATCCAGTTTGTACGAAAGCTGCGCCTAGGAATCACAACCACTTGTGGATCGTAGAGACGGGAGATACGTGTGCTAATGTCAGCGAACGCGAGTTCTATCGTCACCACCGTTCCATCGATAAGCTTTCAGCGCTCTAACAGGTATCGTTGCGAAACGATACGCGGCGACATTTGGAAAAACCGAATCGAACGATCTCAAATGGTTGGTAATTTTTAAAGAAATTCCGACCGAAATCCGTGTGTCAACGCCATGTCAAATTTTAAGCAGCGTTACTCGCAAAAAGTAAAAAGAAATCTACGATCTTACCAATACTGTTCAAAGAGAGGATTGTGGGCTCCTTATAACGATCTCCAATGAAAATTTCACGTGGAAAAACAACACATAATTCACAAAATACTCGGAAGCTAGCGGCGAGAAGTTTCGTGCAGGCAACTGCATGTATACACAGCTGACGGTGCTGCCACGTTCCAACGATGCCAACCACGAGAAATACAATTACGACCCCGCGTTATTTCGAATCGTCTTTAGCATATGCACGCCCAAACAAGAAACAACGTTGTCGTATTTACCTCTGCCGTCTCTGCATACCGCAATTTTTTCACCACTTTCCAAATAACCTGCACACGTAGAGCGAACCAAGCTCACCGAACTTTCGACAACACTCGATTGAAAAAACCGTTGCATTTAAATTTTCCTCGATTCGAACGAAACGTAATTGCGACATTTCATAGACGATTCAGGGATATATGTACATATGTACATACTTATGTAAATACTGCCATTCAACATTTTCGTCCTCCTCTTTCCTCTCCTTTTCCTCTCTTGCCGTTTAATCTATTTTCAACGTACGTAATTGATGAGAGGGATGAGAGGAAGAAAACGGAGGGAAATCGAAATAGCGAAAAAATGAATCGTACAGAGGTGAAAATCTGGGTATGGACTAGAAATTATGGAAGAGAAAGAGAGAGAAAGGGAGAAGGAGGCTGGAGACGTATCGAAAGAACGATTCGACAAAGGGGGATGGTGAGACGGACACGCCGCGCAGAAACTGGAAGGGAAAGGGAGAAGGAGAAAGCTGTACGGTGGACGGTAGAGGAAACAGTGCTGCCTTTAAAGATGGCCTCCCGAGGTAACGCGCTGTACCGCGTCTATGCCGAAAAATGAAGGAAAACCCGAATGGGATCGCGAACATCGGCTAAATCGGGCGGTACGGTGACTCTCGAGAAAGATGTTCGGTGGTTCGGTGTGTCTGGCCGATTGAAGAACGGAAAGGTTGCGAAGATGCGAGAGCAGGCGAGTCTAGCGGTGGTCATTCTACCCCGTGTCGAGTGACAGTGGCTTACGTAACGGATTATTCTCGCTATGATAACGATACTCCAGCCGCGAACGTGAAACAAGAAACTGTTTTACCGGGTTATTCGCGGCGCTGCGCGCGAATCTGCTAGAAATACGCATCGCGACTGACCTGAATTTTCTCTGTCGTTTCGATATCGTACCAACGCCACGTACCGTTCGAGTGCATCCCGTCAGTTTCGAAATCCAGCACGCTGGAAAAGCATATCGGAGCGTGTCCTGAGAAATTATGACAGCGGCGCTCGTCATGGAAAACACAAATTGGGATCCTGGTGAGTAAACTGCGTACGTACGCTTCCACGCGATTCCTTTCTCCTTTGTTTTCTTTTCTCCTTTTCCACCTTTCGCCTTTAACAATTGGCACGAGCGATGCGAGAAACGTCACGTCACGCTCTGCGATTTAAAAATAGCAAGCGATCGCTAGTTCGGTGGTGTGCATCTTCGACGTTTTCGTTCGATACGATGGTTTGGAAATACGTAACTGCGTACTTACGCTCCTACTACGTTCGGGTGCACCATACACGTCTATTTTTGCTAGCCACCGAGCTTTTCAACGAAATGTTCGAGTCAACTTTCAGCTATTATTAAAACTGAAAAGCACCGCTGAACCAGTCGCTTTCAAACGTTTATACACCCTTCTTTCCAAACTTTCGATAAATATCCAGTTTTCAAGGGGAAGGAAGAAAGTAGGTATGGTACACGTATGTACGTGGGTTTCGCGTTTACAGGAAATTAATTTATCGATCAGGAGGTAAATGTGTCGCGTGAACTCGATACGTAGTTGCGGGGAGAGCCCGAAACCTAGCGCATCGTGGTCGTTTCGTCGGAAATTCGGACAAACGTCGACTCGGTATTTTTATCCTGCCATTTTTCCTCCTTGTTCTTTCGTTCCCCAGCCTTGTCGAAACTGCTGAATTCGCTGCAAGAGAACAAGAACGAGATACCCAGCTGTACCGAGGAGGAATTCGGATTCCTGAGCGATTTGCTGCAGTCGAAGGAATTGAACGCGTTGGTGAACGTGCACAATAAAATTTTGCACAATGTCCAGGACGACAAGTTCTTCCCCGTACTCTCCAATTCCATGGACATCGACATCGATGTTCTGGACCTGCTCTCCACCAAGACGCACATCTCTACGGAATGCAAGGAGCTTTTCCATTTGCTTCAAAAGCCGCACATACAGGTAGCGTGGTCGCGGCGAAAAGGCAACATTAGAAATCGAGAAATACGTTTTGTCGTAGGGGCTGTTGTGCGCCCACGACGCGGTCGCCCAGAAAGATTACTATCCCCGATTGCCGGAGATTCCCATGGAAGTGGACGAGGACGAAGAGACCGTGAAGATCGTGCAGTTGGTGAAATCGAACGAACCCTTGGTACGTGTCACTTACATAGGTCGTGTTGCTTAGAGTGGGTTTTTTTTTTTCCTCTCTTTTTCTTTTCAACTTTCTCGCCTGATTAACAAACACGGTAACAAGGGAGAGAGTGTGCTTGAACTGTCGGTAACGTAGCGTCGATTGAAAAAAAAAAAAGAAAAAACAAGAGTGTATTACACGAGTACGATTTGCATGGGACTTGATCCTGATTATTATTATTATCCTTTCGTATTATCGGCCTAGGCACCTCGTGTTCCCCTTACGAGCGATATCCGATATCCGATATCCGATATCCGATACTATTTCTTAAGTAATCACGTGTTTCTTTCATCGTCAAACTTGCTTCGAAGTGTGGCACCGGCGTTGAACCGATCGTGGTAAGTCGACTTCAAGCCGAAACATGTATACAGGCCTGTAAACGTTTCATGCGTACCTTAGCGATTCGCGCAATTACGCTTTCCTTTCTCTTTCTCTTTCTCTTTCTCTTTCTCTTTCTCTTTCTTTCGTTTCGAAGCGAGCTGTAAATAGAACGCTGATCATCCACACCGACACGTACATACACACACGCACACACAGAAACGTACACTAATTCATTAATTTCGCTTAAATCTTACTTTACACTCCCTGCGTTCATTTCTATTCCCGTTCGTTTGTGTTTTTCTGTTTGTGATTTTTGCTTGTAAATAAAACGATTTCTCTTTCGTAAGAATATTGTATCCTGTGTTATTGCCCCCGCATGTCCTCGTATCGAATGTCGAGAATCTCTGGAGAAATTTGAAACGAAGCGAAAAATAAGGGTGGTGTACGGAACCTTCTCCGCCGAGCGTGCGTTCACGCGTTCGCGATCAAGTCTCTTTGTTTTTATTAATTTTTTAAGAAAAACGAAGGCGCTCCCTTACCCAACACCCAACACCCAACACCCTCGTCGCAACCCGAATGAAAATATTAGTTTACACGTTGACAATAGGGGGCGACGATAAAAACATGCGAGGAGACCGGGAAGATCGTGATAGCGCGAATAATGCATGGCGGCGCGGCCGATAGATCCGGCCTGATTCACGTTGGAGACGAGGTTTGCGAGGTGAATGGCATCAGCGTCGAAGGAAAGACTCCGAACTGTGTTCTTAAAATATTGGTAGGTTCACTTTATCCTCGTTCTATGGTACAGACGAATCGATCCCTAGTCGGAGATTTATCTCTCTTTCAGCAAAATTCCGAGGGTACGATTACCTTTAAAATAGTGCCTGCCGACAGTAAAGGGGGAATTCGGGAGAGTAAGGTACGTTGTTGTTCTTCCACAGAGAGATAAATCGATCGAGCACACATTTTTCACACGATAGGTGCGAGTTAGGGCGCACTTTTCGTACAAGGCTGCCGAAGATCCGTACATACCTTGTAAGGAGGCTGGGCTAGACTTCGACAAGGGTGTCGTTCTCCACATCGTCAGTCAGGACGACGCCTATTGGTACGATTCCGATTCGTTTCTCCCACACGAGCTTAAGATCTTTCCGATTATCCAGCACGATTGAAATAGGTGGCAGGCGAGACGAGAAGGCGACCGAAACATGCGTGCTGGCTTGATCCCCAGCAGAGCCCTGCAGGAGAGACGAATTATCCTCGAGAGGCAACAGAAGGAGAAAACCGACGACGACAATATAAGTAAGTGGGAGAGAGGGTGATTGCGATTGATTCTCGGAATAAAATAGAACGCTTTTACCGGTGTTTCCAAGGCGCGGTTTCAGTTGACTCGATGAAAGCGTTTCGGAAACACTGATACGCTCGTTTTCGTAACATCTGATCGTCGCATTATAACACCGCATGCGGAAGATTAACTGCATAGAGAGATATGAAAGGATGATGAAAAACGGCCTGACCACCTAACCCCTCGGTTAGGCTTGTGTTCTGTTCCAGTGCCTTTGCCCGCGTTGTGCCCCCGTCCCAGTACCTCTTTGCACGCCTCGCCTACAAAGTGCAACTTGCAGGGAGTAAAAACTAAAAAAATCATGTATGACGCTGCAGAGAACGACGATTTCGACCGGGAAGAAATACCAACCTACGAAGAAGTCGCGAAGCTCTATCCGAGACCGGGCCTCTACCGGCCGGTGGTTCTGATCGGGCCACCGGGTGTTGGACGGAACGAGCTCAAGAGGCGGCTCGTGGCCACCGATCCCGAGAAGTACAAGACGCCCGTTCCTTGTAAGTTTCCCTTCTCTCCCCGTTTTTATCCGCTGCTCTCGTCGCCCTAACGGTTACCGCCCTCCTATCTCAGATACTTCGAGACCACCGAGACCGGGTGAGGTGAACGGTAAAGAGTACCATTTCGTCACCCGGGAAAAGATGGAGGAGGAAATCGAGGCTGGAAAGTTTATAGAATACGGCGAGTACAAGGGTAACTTGTACGGTACCAGTTCCGAGAGCGTCAGCTCCCTGATAAACGCTGGATACGTCTGCCTGTTGAACCCGCACTATCAGGCCCTCAAGATGCTTCGAACGCCGCAGACCAAACCGTACGTGGTCTATATAAAACCGCCCAGGTTCGAAATATTGAAAGAAACGAGGAACGACGCCAGAGCAAGATCAACTTTCGACGAGAGCAACTCTCGAGGTTTCACGGTACGTGTGTGTCTCTTGTCGCATTTTCCCACATTTAACACCATCTTCATTTATCCCCTGGTTGTGTTTCGCAGGACGAGGAGTTCCAGGAAATTTTGCGCAGCGCTGCTAGAATCGAATTTCTCTACTCTCATCTGTTCGACGAGGTGATCGTGAACGCTGACCTCCCTATAGCGTTCGAGCAGCTGGTGAACGCGGTTCATCGAGTAGAATCGGAACCGCTTTGGGTACCTGCTTCCTGGGTTCAATAGACGCAGCTAGATCTTTCGACGGATGATGCTTTTCCTCCAATTTCTCACCAACGCTACTTTTCGAATCGGCGCAAATTCCCCGACGAATGCCTTTGTACCCCTAAATCGACGAAATTACGTTTTCGCGAATAAACCTCGTTCCTCGTTGCGCTGTTGGATCGAAAGCACAGTTGCGCCGACGATCTCCTTTCTAAACCTTCTTAACGTGTTATCTTAGAGTGTTTACTGCCAGGGGAAAGCGTTGCACTCTCTTCGATCTTATACCGAATATCCGTGAGTAGGGGCGGCGAAGTTTAAGGGAACGTGAACCGCGTTAAAGCTCTAACGTATGTAAGTTTGGGATCAAGGATTGTAAATGGTAGCTCGTCCCGATACAAGCTCGTCGCGGGACCTTGGAATACTAGGCGTCGCTACCACTCGTGACCTTTGATTCCAATTGTTGTTGATTGTTGCCAAATAAGTATCGTACCTAGAACACTGTGGGAATCGTCTCACGATTATTGTATTTTCCACTCGATCAGCATTGCCACGATATTGCTATTTTTTTCATAATCGAACGGGCTGCCAGCCCGAGGAAAATTGACGCACGCCGCGCCGTCCTAACGGCCTTGCGTCAAATAGTTCATCCTCGATGTAAACTCTGTATGTTACCAAAATATAGCATTACACTTTGAAATACTTTGCATCATCTTTCTTTCCGTGACCCGCTCGAAACTCGAGGCGTTTTCGTGTAGACGCAAGGTTAGAACGAGTCCGGCCTTGACGAGTAACGAGTTCTGCGGGCATTTGCCACCCGTACAAATCTAACGGATCGAAATCGATGCAAAAATAGCAAAATACGCTAATATCTCCGATTAAACACGATTTCGTACGATTCTTTTGGCCGCTGTAGTTAAGCCGGAGAGCATCGGTTTTCGGCAGATCGCTTTGGAACGACGTACCTGCGTGTAACACGTAATTGCGGGCCACTGAAAATACTATTTCTGGGATTCCCGCTTTTTATAATTGATCTTGAATCATCGGAGCTTCCGTGCACACACCGAAATAGATAAGAACAACAAGTTGTACAGGTCGATATCTTTCCAGCGGCGAATCACCGAAACGGTTGCTCGTTTCTCGAAAGTACGATCAATTTCCTTCTCGCGTAAGATTACGCGAACGTTGCTAATTTCTTGTCGGCTAGACGTAGAAGAGTAACACCTGGCCTAAATTCGCGGCTGCGCGGACCGGGAGAGGTTGCGATACGACTCTCGCGATACTTTGAGGGCGAGGGTGCGAATGAAACTTTGGCCCAGTATCCAATCAACCCTTACGCGGGCAGATTAGTTGGAAACAGTTGCTCGATGGAATTAACGGCGTCCGTACGCAGCTGGCGACTGCAAAGTCGTCCACGATTCCTACAACGCGGTGAAGTTTTTTCACAAAAGTGTACAGATATTTTTCACGGAGTTTAGCAGTGAAAAGAAAGGCGCAGTCGAGGAGGCTCGAATTCTTAAATTAGCCATCCCAAGTTCGCGTAAACGGTGTACGTAGTTGGATAAATAGTCCGAGTAACGTCTGAAAATCATCGACCATCCGAGGAGAAAGAACGTTAGACCGAACGTTTATTCGCCACCCCGGTAAGACCGTCCGTTCGATTAAAGACCCGCTAACGGTAACGAATCACGGTCATGATATTAAGCGACGAACTTACGGATCCCAGCAGCTCGGCGTCGACCTCGTTTAAAATTAAACCGAAGCCGGTCAGTATAGAAAAGAACCTTCTTACGCAGATACGAAAACCGAGCCATGTAAACGAAACGGGTTTGAAAACATTCGTCGGCCGAGGTTATTATCGTGTTCGAAATGTGTCAATGACACAATGCTGCACGTGATTATCAACGAAACGCGATTGTTATTCCCGATCAAGTCGCGTGCGTGCGTGCTATCGACATCGACAGCCTTCGTCAGGTTCTCTTATGAATTTTCATTAATCCTACCTTGTATTTAGAAGACAAAGACCCACTCGTAACGGCTCTCCGTTGTTCTCGGAATTTCTAATATCGTTCGGGGTCAGCCGTAGGTATGTAAGTACGTACATATGTATATTGAAACGTTCGATCAAATTTGAACGACGTAAATGGGGGGAGGGGGAAAAGCAGCTTTCTTATCGCGTTCGACCGTTTACCTCGTGAACGGTTCGTAAACGTTCGGTGTGTTTGCGATCTCTCCGAGTCGAGATACGGCAATGATTTTGTAAGATCGATAAACGGGCGGGCGGACTTCTCGAGTATGGCATAATCGATAGATTCTCGTGCATAAGAGAATTCAAAATATTGGCTTAACGCCAGGAGTGACGGCGACGGCGACGGCGACGGCGACGGCGACAAAATAAGCACGCGGCCGTCATCCAGCAAAAAGGCGAGTGTGCGCGTAAAGTTGGTTCGAGATGATCGCGGTTCGTTCCTCGAATACGATAACACGCGCGGGAATATACCTGTTCGAGTCGGGAATTGGCGGAAAATGAGAGAGATAATTTTATCCCCGTCCCCGTTCGCCTGTGTAATCGCGACGTTTCACCAACGACGACGAATGTGGATCGACGATCGGGAAAAATCGAGGAGGCAACGCGCCGACGTCATGTTCCTATCCGGCGTGCAACCAAATCACAGCCAAGTAAGCGTTTCTCCTCTTTGTTCCCCGTTGGAGCGTGGAGCGTCTTCGGAAATCGACCACGTCATCGCAGCCTGACTTATTTACGCGTCGTTTATAAAGCGTTTTACGCGCGAAGCCGGTAACGCGCTCGGTTCACCGCACACAAACACCTTTCGGGGAGAGATGGAGAGATGGCGAGCGACGGTGAAGGAAGAAAGGGAAAGCCGCGTCGCACCGCGCCGGTGTGTGCGCGAGCGAACAAGTAGTGCTCGCCTGAACCTCTCGAATAATGCGCGCGGACGAGAGCCACCGATCAAACGACCGGGCGACGCGAGGACGCGAACCGGCATATAAATAGCGTTTAGTTGAAACGGATGCGGTAGAACTCGCGTGCACGTCTTGCCAACCGATCCGGAAGCCACGATCGATTTTCGACACGCTCTCACTCCACAAAAGGATCGAACTTAACATGCACGAGTGATTGAAACAGAAAGCCCGGCGGATACTGGAGGACAGCTGGCAGGTAAAGGGCAGTACCTGTGAACAACTGTCACCTGTACAGGTGAACAACTACAGCATCGTCGCCTCGAGGGGAGAGCTCGCGCGAAATAACTGCGCGGCGAGAGAGTGCATCGTGAAGGGCAAGGACGTCGCAGGATCCGGCAGGACTTTACGGCCTATTCGCAAGTCCCTTTCTGTCCCCAACTGCTTCAGAGAAGGTACGTGCCTATCCTTCCGCTGTTCGCGTTTAACAATCAACGATCGTCGTGTTCAGGTGTTTCGACGGCGCAGAAAACCGGACGAAGAGCAGCGGAGGAAAGCATTCTGAAAAGGTCTTCCGCGTTTCTGGCGAGTCTCGCCCATTCTACGAATAGAATCAGAGAGAAGAGAGCAAACGATAACGATCGCACGGAGAGCGGTCCCTCCAGTCTTCGACGGTCGCCGAGCGTTCAAACGTTGCCAATCGAGCGAAAGCAAAAGAGCGGAGCTCGCGTGAAGAAATCGGTGTCCTTCAGCTCGGACACAAGTTTCGAGGAGAAACGCGCACCTTACAGAAAAGTCGCTGTTCACGAGGTCAAGGTCTACCGCAAGGGTGTTTTGCAAGGTACGCTTCCCCTTTGCTCTTCGGTATTTCTCTGGTACGTCGAGAGTTTGCGAAACGACTATTTTCTTTGGAAATTCGTCAAGGAGACTACCTGCTATTACTTATAGCTTACTGCTGTAACAC